AACTCAACCAAGATAGAGATAGATGATATAGGTATAGATTTAGATATAGATTTAGATATATAGATTTTTTTTTTTTTTTTAGTAGCCTCCATGCCTGTCATGGAGCCCAATGTGGAGCGTGAACTCTCAACCTTGAGATCAAGACCTGAGCTGAGATCAAGAGTTGGACACTGAACTGACTGAGCCACTCAGGCACCCCTCATCCAAGATAATTAAAGAGGAGAATAGGTGGCATTGAAAGGATTTAGGACCATTGCATCTACATTAAATACAGTTAGGCTTCATAGGGACTTGGAATGAGATCTAAGAAACTGTCAGATGACCAGGACAGACATTCTCTTCAATTTCTCTCCCTATCCTTCTCTCTCCCCAACACACATTTCTCATTATTGTTTCTCCCTACAGATCTGCTCCCATTTATGCTTCTTTCCGTACACAAACTTTCCCTATCCCTCTGTCCCAACCCTAGTTGGCTAATTTCAGCCCATTACTCAAACTATCTGAGCACCAAATCTAAGGTCATAGAATTGAGCTGCTTGCAATGGCACCAGGATTTCAGCTCTTTCACCAGTGCAAGGGGAGAAAGGAATGACTATAGTCACTGACTATTGCAGGATCCAAATGGTATAATGTGTTAATGTGTTTAGTTCTAACAGTGAACAGCGAGGTCAATAAGTTGCCATTTGAATCCAAGGGAAAGTAGTCAACAGAGTGTATGAGTCTGGGGCACTTTCTATCTCCCTTTCTGAGTTTTGCTGTCGGGCTATTTTATAATTGATGCTTATTGGATAAGGATCATCCCAATTGATCTAGGGCTCACGTGTAAGGAGCATAGTGAGCAAAAAAGCCTATCTTAAGGCATAGTTTCATATCAAGCACGTTTGGGAGTTAAGAAGGACTCACAGAGGTTGTTATACAGATATATATTTAATACAATATACATGATCATGGTTACAGATACATGTTTGGTGCTTTATTTACCAAGAAGCATGAGTCACATAGTACACAACATATTGACTGCAAAATCAGAAGATAAACACAATTGTTTCTAAATGAAAAACTTCCGGGATAAATGCTGACAGATGGATTTTTAAACTTTCATTTCTACTCCTGTCTCTGGGACATATTTCCTGAAGATGCAGTTTCCAGCATTTAAAAAAAAAATTAGTTTTCCCAAATCCTGATACCATATGACATAAAAAGAACTTTTAGCAAAATATGATCTGGATTACTTCTCTCCATTGGAAAATTTCTCAGCATTTCCCGCTGTTTTGCCTATGCCTTAGCTTATACATTTTCTTAGACAGGAAGTTAAATGTTTTTAATGTATCCATTATGACATAATTGTGACTAGACTCTGCTGTTTTAAATGTTTCCTCTTGCAGGGGGAAGAGAGGAAGGGAGGTATAGGGGTGAGGTGGGGAGGGAAAATACCTTAGGTGAGAAAACAAGTACCTTGCAAGAGGCTTCTTAAACTGGATTTGAATAAGCTTGATGTGTAGCTTCTCTACTAGAAAAATGAGATAAGAAGATTATTATTAAACTGTGAGGTGAGGATAATATTCCCAAGATATTTTTTTTCCTTCACTCTCTGCTCTGAGTTTCCATTCAAAGCTGCAAATGTGTCTTCAGTTGGAAGAGTTGATCCTTTCAGTTCCACGATGGTTCACTGATACTGGGGAAAGCCTTTCCTTGGATATCAATTGCTCTGGTTTGCCACATGCCCTATTTGGGCAAAAATATGTTGAACCCAAGCAGCAGTTGCTAAATTGTTACCTGAAGAACCTCCTCCCAAGCAAGTGTTACATACATACTTGTCTAATAGAATGGAGACCAGAAAACCAGAGAGGTCTAATGACAAGTCAGTCAGGATATACTGAGATGCAGGAAGACCTCATGTCCAGAACCTACATAGAGTTCCCTGGCTCTTAGGTTTAGACGTTTGGATGTTGGAAACTCAGTTCTCCACTCTCTGCTCCCCTGCACAGGTGAGCCAAGTGGGGAAAGCAGATCCTCTACATCTTTTCTTCCTTCTAATCAAGACTTTCTAGGATTTGAAAATGAAGTTCTTCATCTAGCTGCTTTGCGAGTCAAGGAATGCCTTGTTTGCAAATCGTAGTGATGACAGCAAGAAGTGGTTGGATTTTCAGTCAAGGGGAGCTGTTCTTAAATGTTTCCTAGTAAGTAGATCAACTTCATAGGTCTGGCACTCCCTTCTTTACCACTACCCTTCCCTCCTCTCTCCTCTTTCTTCCCCTGAGCCTTTATCTCCCAAACTTGCTAAAGTCCCAGGAAACAGGGAGAATGGGCTGCTCACATACAGATAGCCTTTTAAATAATTTTCATGATCAAATCTGTGATGGAACAGATAATTTGACAAAGCCCTGGCAGGGGATACTTCTGAGCGTATCCGTTGATTTGGTGATGGTCAAGTTTTTACTGAAACTTCTGAACAGCTATTATTCTTTGGGAAACAATTAATAACCCCATACCACTGAAATGGAGTCTAGAGAGAGAACCCATCAACCAAGCAAATCCATGGATTTGTATAGGGTAAAAATGAAAACAATCTCTTTCACCAAGTTTTTCTCATTATGCAATAAAAACTGAACTCTACTGATAGTATAATTTATGTGATAGAGAATTAGAGTTCCTGATGCAACGGGAGCAAAACGTTTCCATATATTTGATGTTATTGATGTGAAAGCAAAGGGACTGAAAGGCCTCAGTTCTCCATCTCAGAAGGTCTATCTGGGAGAAGGAGTGTGTGTGTGTGTGTGTGTGTGTGTGTGTGTGTGTGTGTGTGTTGTTCATGTGAACAAGCACTGCTTTGGTAGATAAACACAGCCTTTTAATTTCCTCAAGAATCAACAATCTAACTCTTTAATCTGGTCCAATTTGGACCCTAAACTGACGCCAACCCCGAACTGTATCAAACCCAGGCAGAAAATCTTAGGTTGTGGGCCATTCCCTGGCCTCATCTTGGGTTTCTTTCCAGAGTGAGAAGTGTAAACTCCTCTTCCCATTGACCACAGTTTGGCTCCGCTACCTCTCTACATCCCAGATCACTTACGACTGTAGTTCCATTTCCAGGAGGGAGGGAAATGAAAGCACCAAGCACCACAGGACTCTTGCATTAAGTTTCTTGCTTTCCCAGCAATTTACTCAAGACAAAGTGGGGAGGGAGGTGGGGGACGGAGAGGGAGTGATAAAGAGATGTTACACATTTCTTTTTTTCCTGGAAAGACCATCCTAGTTTTTCTAATTTCCCAGAACTAAAAGAATGTTATTTTCTTTGTGTTGCCATGGAAACTTCCCAAAACACTGTTTTTTCTTTCTTTCTTTCTTTTTTCCTAAGTTTAAAAACACTTTAAAAATGATTTGAAAGAACGTTTTTTGGACAATTTTGATATGTTTGCTTTCTCATTTGGGGTTGTGATGCTTGTATCCCTTTTAATTTTATCAGTTCATGTGTTAGAATGGTTTCTAATGTGTGTGTAAACTATAAATTTGTAATCATATATACAGATATATATATTACATGGCATCATTTGACTGAAAAGCATTCATTCTTTTTTTTTCCTTCACTGCACAGCCCTCATGGTGGTGCTTTTCCTGACCTTTACCTCCTGAGTTCAGCCTATGAAAAGGGGAAGGTCCTCCTTACCCTCCACTCACAAGTCCTACCTACTGACATAGGGTGTGTAGTCAGTTCGTGAATACAGTTGATCTGGGTCTGTGTAACGTCAACCATCTGGGTAAGCTCCGTAATATCTACTACATTCTCTGGGCATTTTCAAACATTTGACTCTTTGAAATCATGTGAATAAAAAGTTTTGAATTTCCAATTCAATTAACATTCTGCTTAAAAAAGGTTTGGCATCCAAGAACAATAACTCCCCTAGATCCTTGGGTTCTTAACATTTCTAGCTGCATGAGAAAGTAAATGGCTGGAGATTTGTTACTGATTTTGGCAGTGTAGACATATGCTGAGCAAGGTGGTGCCAGGAAGCTCTGCTCTGAGTTGTGTGTCATTCCTACACAAATGCACGCGGGGAGGACGTCTCAATGCTCATGGTGTCGATTTGGCCTAGCTGAAGACTGCTTGGTGACCAGTGTCTCTGAAGTGAGCCATACTTTCAACTATGAATGGACTCCTAACACACTGGCAACTGTTGGCAGTGGATCCACTCACTCCAACCCACTCTCAGAATGTGAAATAGCCAAGTGTTCAGAAGGGCATGCTCTCCTTCGAAACAGCAAACTCAGAGAAGAGCCAACCAACACAACCAGCATTCGCCTAAAGCCTACAGTAACATGGTTGCTTCGCTTTCGGTATTCTTAAGAAACAACTGAATAAATGGGCCATAAACATGAAAAATTAGTAGTGTGTGGAGGAGAAAGGAATGTGAAAGAAGGAAATATAAAACTAAACAATGTGATCTTCTCCTTCAACATTCCAGAGTTTTATTCATCCTTTCACGGATACTTTCTTCCAAAATTAACTCAACATCCTTATCTTGGTTAGCCTCGTACATGGTTAGCTTGCTTCTCCTTATTACTAAATTATGTAAATCACTACTTAATCAAATCTACTAAAGATAAGAAAAAGAAATCTAGCAGGACTTATAATGATGAAAGACATAATTAAAAGGTTAAAGCTACTAAAATATACCACGGCCTATCAGTCAGCTGCTTGAGCGGGACGTTGGGACATAAATGCGCACTTTGAGGGTAAATACGATCCATTAACACAGGGAGCAAAATAGAGAGGCAAGATGGGGTTGCTAAAGAAAAAAGTCATATTATTTTGCAAAATGCGGGGTTCTTTGTAACTCTGTCTTACTTAGAAAGCCTCCACATGTAGTCAAATTAATTTTTCTAAAGATAATTTGGTATTTTGAAGTTAATCATCATTTCCTAAACAAACAGATGGCATCATAGGGTAATTAACCATTTTAGACTTGACAGAATTTTTCCATTTTAGCGTATAGTTCTCCTGATATTGAGGTAAGGGACGTTGTGCTGGACAGCATCTGTTTTATTTGACATGATTGGAGTTGAAAATTTTGGAATTTTCTACTCACGTGGATTTAAAATAATTTGAAAATTGAAACATTGGGCCTAAACACTAGAGGCATATATACATTTATTAAATACTCCATTGCCAGGTCATTGATTTAATACAGAATATGGTAACTTGGTAGAGGGGAGTATGAGAGAGGTATAAGGAAAGAATCAATATGGATTGTGTTCAGATCTATTTTGTAACATTCATGATTATATCTCTTGTTAATGATCTCCAGCCAACATAAAGATGCTCTAGAGGGAAAATTGATATTTTACATAATGTATTTGCTTTAAAAAATCAATAATGGCTGCCTCATAAAATTCATTTTATCTTTTACTAACCAGAGTCGGAAATAGAGGGGTGATTGCCCCTGGATCAGAATTAAAACAACAAATGAGATCAATTAATCTCACTTGAAATTGGTCTTTCTACATCCACATTCTTTTCAGACCAGTTTAGGTGGAGATTCATTACCCAAACCAAATGGACCCACATTCAATGATATCATATTCTTGTCTTATATTTGCTTGTCTTCAGCAGAATTTTTCTGTGATTCTGATTAGCTTTGACAAGAACACACTGAATAGAACTTAATTAAGAATGGGACATGAAGAAGAACCCCGGGAAAGGAAGGCATTCAGACAATATAAACATCCAAAACAAAGTGCACAAGAAGTAAGCAACACTCCCTGGGATTTTTCCCTGTTTGGGTATCTTTGAACAAAGCTGCTATGGGAAAGTATGCAGGTTGCTGGAAAATGTAGCATTATTAAAGAAGTAACTCACAGGGTGATTCTTATAGCCCAACTGAATTACTACTTGATTAATTCCTGGTGAAACTCAGAGCGCACAAAGCGAGGCAGTGAATCCTTTTCCATCAGGGCATAAATTCTCTTCTGGGCCACATCAAAGCTGCTCAGGGAAGGTTCCACCAGGTTCTTCATGGTGATGTCCTTTGTGAAGTGATCAATATTCACCTGTGGGCCAGGAAACAGGGTCATGAGTCAGCTCAGGTTGCAGGATTTGATGACGGGTGGGGAGGGAAGTGGAATTTGTTGCCAATAAAACACATGAGGGGCAGAGGGTAATAAAAAGTGAGAAACATCATTTCTGTTTTATAGGCAATGGGGTAAGGCAAGTGACACTTTAATACATGCACGAATCAGATGAAGATCCAAGCGGTGTTAGACACTCGCCAGGTGTGAGACCCTCCACCGGCAGCTAGTACATGCATATGTGCATACTGTACCTAATCCTCACGACAACCCTATGAATACATATATGTGTGTGTGTGTGCGTGTGTGCGTGTGTGTGCGTGTGTGTGTGTGTGTGTATATATATATATATATATATATATAGCTTCAGCGGCTTTCTCAAGGTCACAGAGTTAAGACGTTTATTTGCATCCAAGACTCAGAATTTGAATCCAGTGTCCTGATGCCTAATCTCTCAACTTTCCTTCCCCAGCATTTGCTTTCATGCCTGATGGAGAGAGTGAAGAGGAGAAAGGAATCCTGTCTGGGACCGAGGATCTTGTGCATGACTCCAGAGAAGCAAGGAAACTTGGTCTTTCCTGAAACAAACCAGGAAACTGTGCTTTTGACAGAATAGCAATAAGAATGGCAGCTAATGTTTATTGAGTGCTTCGTCTGTGCAGGCTCCTTGCTGGGAATGTTACTTTAACAGGCTCCATGCTGGTGAACCCATTTAACCTCATAGCTCTGACATCTAAGTCTTACAACCGAGGAGCAGAACGTTAAGTGATTTGCTCAAGGTCGGAAGTATTAGAGAGAGGATTCAAAAACTTAGCAATGTAGCTTTTAACCAGTAGACTGCAGTGTTGGAAGGCATTGTGGGTTTTATGTCCTGAGTGCAGTGCAGACACACTGCACAAGTCCTGGAGACACTGTTCATTTTAGGGTCTTTGTGAATGGTCCCTCGGAGTTGTGCAGTGTACAGCCTACATGGGCGTGCCTGAGTGTGATTTGAGAGAAATCACTGTTTATCATCTTGTATGCTTTAAGGACCCTTAAGCTATCTGGCTGTAAAAGAGAAAGAAACAGAATCCAAATTGGCCTGTGGTTCTGAATTGGAACACTGGAGAATCTGGGCTCAGAGGATGTTGGTGTGGTTGTAGGCAGAGTCAGGGACAAAAGCCTGATGGGGGAGTGCCAGGCCAGAATGGGCTGGATAGGGGGCATGAGCTGTGCTCCAAGGTCCGGGATGGAGTTCAGACTGTGGTGAGATTTTCCATGGTGAGAGGGGCTGGAGTGCTTTCTGCAGGCATGGGGGAAGACGATACAGAACAGCCTCAGAGCTGACGTCCAGGGCCTGCCTCTGCATGTGAAGACTCTGAGCCTAATGAGGTCAAGTTACATGCCCACTAACACTCAGGAGGGAAAGGCCGTGATGTATGTTTCTCTGTTCCCATTCTGCTCTTCTTCCTGCCACACTAAAGCAATGCTTCTTCCTTCTCTTACACTGAGTATATACTGAGCTAGGTAGGCAATTCTACTCAGAACGGTTGAACATCAAAGAAGTATAAAGCTCTTTCTTAATCTTAATGTTTAAAAGAAGGGATGTCTTGGGGCACCTGGGTGGCTCCGAGCAACCGACTCTTGGTTTTGGCTCAGGTCGTGATGTCAGGGTCATGAGACTGAGCCCCATGTCTGGCTCCACACTCAGCTGGGAGTCCGCTTGAGGTCCTCTCTCCTTCTCCCTCTGCCTGTCCTGCCCCCTCAAATAAATAAATAAGTCTTAAAATAAAAAGGAAGGGATGTCTTTAAAAACTCTAACACATTGTATCCAGCAACTAATAACTGCTATTTATCTATTACTTTTATGTGCATAGACCTCTTCTAATGAATCATTCTGATAAATATTCATCTGTTTACTGAGCCAGGAAAATATTATTGCGTTACTTTTAGATGTGATCAAATGACAATTTGCAGTGTACAAATTATCTGTGTATTGAACTATGCATGGCCATTTCTCTTTTCAAAATCTTAGTTCCAGTTTTTGCCACTGTGTTTCTCTACCAGTTCCTGCTGTGAAGAGGCTGAGGTGAATGTTCAGACAGAGAAAATTAAGATTGCTACTTGCCTGGGCAACTGTGTCATATGGGTCCATCTGCTACGCATCAACATGAACTGGTAAATTTTTCGGTCAAAATGCAAGACTTGGAGAATTTTTAAAGTAATAACAGCTGCAGTTTTTGTTTTTTTTTTTTTAAATGTTTCCTCACTATTTTAACAATACCATGAAAAAAATATACGGTTTAGAATCTGGAACTGACCACTGGGTCTGCATGGGTTTCAAGAGTAGCTGGCTGGGGCTACACGGCCCCTTCTCATTCCTCCCCTAGCGGGAGCTGCGCTACTACAAACAGCACTGATGGGGCACCGGAATCAGGAACTAAGTTAGTGTCTGGATCAGGTTCTGACAAAACACGGCCGACTAGAGCAGCTACGCCCGCCGGCCCCGGCCTGGGTCCTGTGGTACTTCTGTCTGTCCCCTCCCCACACCGGCTACAAGGGGACAGGAGGAGGTGGGTTAGCTTATTCCAGGACAGGAAAATCATCATCCGTTAACCCTGGGCCACACACCCAAGCTCCCACTCAATCCCCTGGGGCAGGGTTATAAGGGCCACAGTGAAATTCGAATTTCAAAAAAACCAATCATTTTTTTTTTAGTGTAAGTATGTTCCAAACGTGGCACAGGGCATACTTATACTAAAAAATTATCCTCTGTATGCCTGACATTCTAATTTATCTCAGCATTCTAGTTTCCTTCTGTTGCTAAATCTGGCAACTCTACCCTCGGGGCCCTCAGAAGTGGGGGAGGGGTTCCTGCTGGCAGAAAAGGCCTGAAGGAAGAGGAAGTAGTGTGTATGTGTGTGTGTGTGTATGGGGGGGAGTAATCCAGTCAAAAAAGCTTTTTATCCCTCCATAGGAATGATATATTATTTTTTTTAAAAAAAATCATTTTCCAGAAATTTTCTACACTGGCTGCCTTCAATTGTTAGTAGCTATGGGGTGGGAGGAGGGACAGACATGCACGGACACCGATCCCATACATGCTGGGCTCCCTGCGGGACTCGGCTCTGTTCGTCAAGAACGCCATGTTCCTGCCCCAGCTGAACGAGAAGGAGGCGGCTGAGAAGGGCTCTGGCAAGCTGCCCAACAGCTGCAGTTTTAAAATGCGCTAGGTACACACACATATATGTCTGTGAGATGTTTTCAGCGAAGGGGACCGAGGATGGGGGAATTTTAATTAGGCACCCGTCCGAAGTCACATGTGGAGGAAGGCCTGGGATCGGGACGTTTGCGTCCATTCACCGGACTGCTTATGATGGGCCAGGAGCCCAGTTCCTCTCCTCTCTGCTGCCCAGCTCAGAGAACGGTGGCCACACTCACCCACCTACCCATCAACACCTACCTCTTTAGGAGCCCCTGTTTGGATGAATTCTTCATAAATTTTCTTTGCCTTCTCAACCATCTTGGCAGGGGACTTGATCTTCTTGTAGTCCTCACAGGCAAGCCAGAACTCAAGGTTTTCCTCGCTGAATTCAGACTTCAGGAAACTTCTGAAGCTGGCAAGTCCATCTAGCGAGAGGAAAGTTTGGTTGGATGGATAAATACATACGTCCTGCATACATACATACATGTATTATGAATTTATCTAAAATATATCATACATTTATTACGCATTTGCTTGCTTGTTTACAAAACTGTATCTTGTTGTATAGCCTCAGCTTGTTTACTATGTATTTCTGTCACTTATATAAGAACCTTACAAGTGTTAGCTTATTTACTCTCATTATAGACCTATGAGACAGGTGCTATTAATGTCCTATTTTACAAACGAGATAAGAGAAGTCAAGTACTATGCCCTTAGTTAACCAGCTGGTAAAAGTGGCAGGGCCGGAATTCAAATCCAGGCAGTATGTATTTGGGGATGGAAGTGTTACCTGTATACAGCATCAGAGAATACTATGAACATGAATACCATCTGGATACTTATCAGTTACCAAAAAGAGAAAAATACACTTGAAACTTGGTTTGGCGGTGTAATACTGATGTTGATTATCACGTGCAAATGACTTACAACCCTTTTCTTTTTTTTTTTCTACAGATGATTTTTGAGCAGATATTATGTTCCAGGCACTATGATAGTATGGTAAGTAAAGTCATCACGGTTCCTGCCCTAATGGAGCTTATGGATTCCAGGGAAGGTAGAAAGAAAACGAAGAAACACAAAAAACATTGACACAACAAAAGAAAAACCATATGAAAGATAGTCACAGAAAGGTTTTAAGCTCATTTTAAGTTTAAGGAAGGCCCTGTGAGAAAGGGACATTCAGTTTGAGATGTGAGGATGGGTGGGAGAGGACCCAATGAAGTTACCAGGCGGCCGAGGAGTTTACTCTGCCCATCAATCATAGGTCAGTTTTTAAATCATACTAAATTTGACACAATTACAATGATTGTGATTGTGTTTTCAGTGTGCTGTGGCTCATGTAGACTTCAGCTTACTTTAAAATATGTTTACATACATGTAATATATATTATACATAAGTCTATACAGAAATATGTATATTAGGGGTTCTTGGGTCTGATCCCTGTGTTTCTTTGTCTTTCTTAATCTCCACAGTGAGAGATGAGTAGAAGGCAAGGTAAAGATCTAGGAAGGCACTGGACAGGAATAAAGGAAAAATCACTCTGTATGTTCAATGTTCTCCTTGTTTTTAAAACTAGGTATATATGTTTTTTAAACCCAAAGTCCAACAAATGCCTATCTGTTGAGAGAACCCATGTCCACTTACTATCTAAGGAAAGTAGATTTCTGAAGGGAGGGGAGAAGAATTCCAGTTTTGCAGACTGTCACAACCACTGGTCAGCTCTCCATGTCACTTTGCCTCCCGGGGCAGAACCAGGATGACTGTCACCAGTAAGTACATCAGGGTCCAGGGTCGCTCTAACTTGATCCCCATCAGGAAGCACTTGATTGCCATTCATTCTCTTTGGGGAACACATACATGAACTGAATTCATTTCCTTTGACCTCATTTCAGTCAACTGGCCTTTCCCTCGACTATTTCTCTGTACTGCTTTTAAAAGACTCTCAGCTTCCATTCATTCATCCTCACCAGACGCATGGATTTCATACGGCGCACATACAGCATCTAGGGTTGTCTTTTTTTTTTTTTCCGGTTTACCTTCAATATATTTTTATTGTCTGCTTGCCCCTCACAGTCCCCTGCAACCACATTCAATTCTAAAGAAACAGAATGGGTAGGTGATAATTAACTTGGGTTAGATCACCAGCAATTTCTGGCTGCAAACAAAACACTTTGCATTTTAAACCCCTCTTTTTGTACTTCACCTAAAAATTTTTTTTTTATTGATTAACATCTAAAAATACATCTGGGGGCAATGGTAGGCATGATAAACAATTTGCTCTAGAAACCTAGCTAGCAGAATTACTATAAAACTGTTTGATAACGTGTGCCTGGATAAAATCAGGTGTGTTTTCCCTCTCTCCCTGCCCATATATATATATATATATATATATTTTTTTTTAACTAAGGATTTTACTATATTTCTAGCACCATTTGTTACAATTTAGTGACACGGGAAACAATATATATGCTAAAAGAAGGCCTAGATCTCTGTCATGGTTAAAGTTTTCATTGTCTTAAACAAAAGGTGTCAGATAGTCTCTGTGGCAATGGAAAGATGCCCAGGCACTTTTTGCTGCCCGAAAATAACAGCAGGAATGAAGTCTTATGAGAACCCACACAAAACCATGGAGGAAACTATAACTTCACAGAATAAGTCTGTGGCCAATTTACTCTCATCTGGCCCATGTCCCCACAACCCATCAGTCACTCTGAATCACCCATTCCACATCTAAAGGTACAGATAAAATCCCAGTCCTCCCAAGCATTGTTATTTATGACCTGAGGACACATGCCAGGACTCCAGAACAATGTTAACATTTACCAGGCATCTGGGGTGGGGGGGGAGCTTGGAAAATAACTTTACAGTGAAGTAAGTCCATTTCCTGGGTACTGGCTTTATCACCCTCATTGAATTCCACAATATTATTTCAAGATTTTTTATCAGTGCACGCATTTTGAATGGAGACTCATAAAATGGCTTTATACTCTATTGGTCTAGGAGATGCTTAAAGCTATTCTCTCTCTCAACTGGATTTTGAGAATTCTCTGGATGGCCCCTTAGTAAGGCTCACAAGTTACTCTCCAGATACCTTCTCCTCCTTAGCCTCTGAGTTTCTATTGGTCCATTCCCCAATACTCTCTGTTCAATTCCCATAACCCCTGAGGAAATCCTCTTGGGTCACAGCCAAATCGACTCCAGGAGGAATGTCTTTATTCTGCAAAGAACACACACATCTTCTCTGGCCCACACCACTGCCATCCCACTGCACTCCCCAGTTGAGCCCCCAGCACACATCCCTGTAAATCCCCTCATTCTTCCCTGCTGAGCCTGCGCAGAGCCTCAGGATACTTGTCAACACACCTCTCCAGGTGTATACTACCGAGGCAGCAGAGGAAGCCCACCTGACCTCTGGTCTTGTGGCAGTAGTCTGGGTTGTGGTCCAAATTATAGTCCCAGAGCTGGCTCTAATGAATGGTGTCACTTTTGACATCCAAGCAAAATAGCGTAGCAGCCCTACCAAAGAACAAAATGAAGCCAGCTATATTTTCCTATGAAAATAAAAAGAGTGTTAGACAAAGCCAAGTCAGTTTGGTATAATAAAAATATTGAAAACGAGATTAGAATAAATCTCTTCTCCTAGAGGAAAGATAGTGAAATTTAATGAACGGACATAGCTTACTGGCTCAGAGCATGGGCTCTGGAGTCAAGGCTGCCTGGGGTGGATCTTGGCACAACACATAACTACAGTAACTCGGGCAAGTTTCTCACCCTTTCTGAGCCTCTGTTGCTTCATTCGTTGAATAGATATAATCATGGAACCCACCTGATAAGGTTGTTGTAAGGATTCAGTAATTCATGTAAAGCTCTTGTATGGTATTGAACATGATAGCTCACTCAGTAAGTACTGGCTTTCATCATTACTCTTCATGCCTAATTCAAAATTAATCTTTAACACCATCTAAAACCCAACTCAAATGTTGCCTCATATGGGAGGTATAGTACCCTCCACTTGCTCTTGAAGATTTTTATTATCATGAGGGAAGAGCTCACTTTGTTCTCTTGTTACAACTCTTGCTTACATGCTGGTCTTCTCCAAGAGGCTGTGAATTCTTTGAGCTCAAGGTTTGAGTTTCATTTACTTTTGCCTCTCTTTCATATCCCACCTCCTAGTCTAAATCTCTCCTAATGTTTTGTTTTTTTTTTTAAGAGAGAAAGAGAGTGAGTATGAGTGGGTAGAGGGGGGAAATGGGAGGGGGAGAGGGAGAGAGAGAGACAGAATCTCAAACAGGCTCCACGCTGAGCATGGAGCCCCAACGCCCGTGGGCCTCATGACCCTGAGATCATGACCTGAACTGAAATCAAGAATTGGACGTTTAACCAACTGAGCCACCCAGGTACCCCTGTGCTTAACATTTAATAGATTTGTGATGAACTAAATAAGGCCCATTAAGGGAAGCATTTGCTTCCAAGTCACAGAACCGAAGAACACAAACTTAGAAGAAAAATAAATTTTCTGCTACCACTCTAATGTTTTGTTTCCTAAGCAAGTTACCTAACCTCTGTTTGCTTTTCTGAAAAATGGAAATTGTTATTGTACCCACATCCTAAAATTATTATACTCATTAAATAAACCAATACCTGCAAAGTGCTTTGGACAGTGCCTGGTACATGGTGAATAATACACAGAAACTCTTGCTTACATTATTATCATTATTGCTTTAAAGAAATTTGTGGCTGCCAGTAAGACGAGGAACAAAGATGAGCCAGAAAAGAGAAGGGAGAATACTGGAAACCAAAGAGTGAGAAGCAGAAGGCGAATGCAAAGATAGGAAAAAAAGAGAGAGAGAGAAGGCTAGATCCAGGCTCTTCCATCCTCCATGGAAGAGTCCAAATCTCAAGGGTATCTCAGGAAATATTCTGACCTTTTGGAGCTCCTGGGAAAAAAAGAATTCACATAAAATCTTTGCTGCTATTAGATTGTGTTTCATTCCTCTTCTGCCCTTAAAGACAGTCACGTGGAGAAATTTAATGTCACTGTCTTATTTAAGCTCCCATGTGCGATCAGTTTTTATATTTAATGAACAACAAACTGGTTATTTGTCCCATGGACCTAATGAAAACAGATGGCCTCACCTACAGAATTGAACACAAAACGTAAGAAACTGACGTGCTTTCAAAACAGAGTCAAATACACTGGAGGATTAAAAATGATTTTTTAAATGAGGAAAGATAAGAGAAATCTTGTTAGCTGGAAAAGAAAAGATTGAGTAGCCCCTTAATTGTCTTATTTTTAAGAGGTTAGGTACCAATTGATTTCATTTCCACTCAAGAAAAATGTGGATTTAAGGAATACTTGGGAAATCTATCAATTCTGAGTCAATATCCTACAAATATTCTTTATAAATTAACTAAGGTGCCACTCAAGGTTAAATGACTTCGTTTATCCAATCAAACATGAAGAAGAGATTGTGGTGTTTCAAATGCATAGATTTCTCAAATGTATCTTTCTTTGTTACCTATTTTTCATCAATCACAGCTAATGTTAGAGATTTCTGATTATAGACCATTAGTTTTAGCAGAGTCAAATAAAAACATCTCATGAGAACCGAGTTGCTGAAGTTTGGCTTAAATTTATTCATGAGGCACAATAGCTGGTGTTTGGGAGAATAAGTCAAACGTTGTTTCTGAAGGTTGATGGTGCCGGGGTAGAATTATTTGGGTGTGACAATCATTCCATTAGTCCTTCTCTAGGGGTAGCTAGACAGAGAGAAGCAGAGAGCAAAGACAACATGGTAAGAGAGAGACACAGAACAAGAGAGGGAGTCATAGAGAGAAGCAGAGGCAGAGGGGGAAGTGGGAAAATAAAGAGGAAGAGAGAGACAGAGAGATAGTAAGAGCAGAGGACTAGACTTGGAGAGAAAGAGGCTATCTTATTCACTAATGGCGTCCCCTCTCTTAGGGTGTGGCTCTCCTTTGTTTCCGTGAGAACTCTCTATTCATACCAGAACCCCTCTTTTTCACTTGAGCTAGTTTGAATATAGAGATATGCTTTCAAAGGAAGAATTTTGACCTGAATGATTATCAAATTCTTTTCCACTTATCACTTGGGGAAATCAATTGCCCAAGTCTTAAAAATGTTAATTACTTAGGAGGAAAATTATGTAGAACTTAAGATTATATGGACACTCTCTCAGTCTTTAAAATAAATAAATAAATCTTTAATGAAAAGATTTTATGGACACACACATATACACAGATACATACTATATAACACACATATCTATGCATATGTAATTTTTAAATATATATAATTAAGCGAAATGTGAATATTACATATAGATATTTACACAAACACACACGTGAATATATATTTTCCACACTGAGAAGTAGAAAATATTACTGTGAGAATCTCAGGCCTTAAGGTCATACCATGGTAATCATTTATTTGCAACCTGGAAGACTTCAGTCCCTCAACAAATGCTAAGGTGTTAACACTAACTGCCTCTGACTTAACTTCTACCCCTATCTTTCTTATACCAATAGCTCCCTGTCTCCTACAAGCCTGAAACATATAAACATGTGGCCCAAAGGATTAGTGTGACTGAAAAGGATTGTATATGGGCACACAAATATATATCCTTCTCCTTAGCGGTTTTGCAAACATGAAAATAGTTCTGCTAATTCTCAGGATTTCTTGACCATAGCAAGATATACCTATACCCAGGAGACTTAGGATTCATAATGTATCAATATACCATCTGTCAGGTTGCAATCGGCCCCAAAACCATTGTGTAAGACAAGAAATAAGTCAATTGATAAACATATATTTTTTTCTCTTGGTTGAGCTCATGGGATTTCTGGGTCCAGCAAATGAATGAATGAATTCATTCATTCACACATTAAGTCAACAAACATTTACTGAACACCTTATATGTGTCAGGGCAGGGTATTTTGTTTAGCACAAACAATAAAAAGAGAATCAAAAGTGGATAAGATTAAGAAAGTTATGAAGTCGAGGTTTGGCTGTTCTGCCTCCAAATATAAAATAATGATTCTAAACAGAAGCTTCCCTACCAAAAATAAGACAAATAAAAAAACTTTCATATACAATTCAACATATGTTCTTTGTTATCTACTCTGGGCCTATTGATCATGATTCTCCTGTGATAAGTATTTTTTAAATCCTTATTTTTGCAAAGTATCTAACAAAGTTTCATATGCCATTCTTGGGGTGAAGATGGAGAAATGTGGGTTGAGTATCTTAAATTGAATCATATTCTTAAAATGAACTATTTGACAAATTTATTCTCCCTATATTGTGTACTTCTTATTGGGATATTATTCAGATCAAAAGATTGAGTCCTGGCTGTCACTGAGTTTATCATCTATCATAGGAGGAAGACATCTATGAAAAAGTACATGGTAGCAAGTATTAAGCAGGAGAAAAGTTGTGCAGACAAAGGCTCTGGAAGCTCAGAGGGAGATCATTCTGGATGGCCAAGGAAGACTAGGCATTTGGTATTTAGATTCACTTTTATAGGAGAGGAAGAATTTCAACGGATAGAGATATGAATACAAAGTATTCCAACCAAAGGGATTGCATGCAGAAATTCCCAAGGGAGGGGAGAATGCTTCAGTGTGACTGCAGACCAGCCATCTAGTTATTGTGTAGCATCTTAAACATTGGAAACTTGAACTTGAAACCGTAGGCCTTGGGAATCAGTAAGGATTTGCATTAGGGGACAGGTAAGTAGTGCTCAGGTGTATTGGTATTAGCTTGGAAATGGGTTCTTTCTGGCACTTTTGTCGTGTCTTGAATAAAGATATAAAGTCAAGCACCAGAAGAGGAAACCAAGGCTGGGGGAGAGAACAACCCATGTCGGGCCACAAAAACAGTTAATAGCAGCTTGGACTGGGACATACTACCCCACTGTGCTTCCTAATCCAGTGATCTGCACATGGCTCTAGCCAATCCTTGTCAAGCCATTAGGAGGCTAAGCTGGAAAAGGCAATATCTCTCTTTTACTGATGAAAACATTAAGAAGCACCCAGGTCAAGCCACATGAGTAAGTAGGACAGATGGGAAAACAATGTGCAATCCTGAGTCCTCAGGACAGTTTATTCTCACATTCTCTTCCAGTGTAGTAGACCTTCCTCTTTTTGTGAGCTGGATAACCACCCTCCCTTGGCATTCTTCCCTTGTTGAGATCACTTTGAAAAACTGAAGAAATGTCAAAATTGGAGAAGAAGGACACAGGTAATACAAAGGTGATTTTTTGCCTCTCTCCCTCCCCTGACCTTTTATAAAAGACAATTCCAACTTACAGTTGTTCTGCAGGAGCTTGTCCAAGGAGTCACGCCACTGCAGGGACTCATCCAGTGAGGGTCTAAATCAAAAATTCAGGAAAAAAAAAAAAAAGGCAACAGCCGTGAGAAGGGAATTAACCACATTCACTGACAATGTCTTGGACCTGCTTTTCTTAGAAATGATGTACCCAGTGACCCATCCTCAGGACAAGGGAGTTTGACTTATTTTCTTTCTGACAATCAGGTTTGGTGGGCTGGATTTGCTTTCACACACCAATATTGTTTATTTTCCTTTTTTTAAGATTTATTTATTTATTTGAGAGAGAGAGCAAGAGAGCAAGAGCACGAGTGGAGGGGAAAGGCAGAGGGAGAGGGAGAAACAGGCTCCCTGTGGGGCTCGATCCCAGGACACTGGGACTGTGAACTGAGCCAAAGGCAGACACCTAACCAAACTGAACCACGCAGGCGCCTCAGTATTGTGTATTTTCATCTCCTCTTGAACAATCTGTTTGGGTCTCTCTCTTTTTAGAAGTAAAGTCTATTTGTCATGAAGCTGTGTCTTGACATTCTTGTATATCTCATGACAGTATCTCCAATTGTGATCTTTTTTCCCAAATGTAACTAAGTGAAATCCAGTTGCCCCATTATAGGGATTGAACTCGTGTTCTCTGTCTCACCAGTGCTCCCCTTTAGCTGCCCAATTTAATCAGCAAAGGGCATTTGATTCCACATCCTCTTGCCATCATTAAGGCTGGTGGAAGATGGAATGTGGGATGCTGCCTCATGGTGGAAATGTGATCATGGTACATCTACATTTTTAAAAATCTGGTTGCATTTTTCCTGCCCAGTTAGGATAGGATACTGATTTTTAAAAGGTTTTCTCTTTCTGAGAAGAAAAGTGGTTATACATCATGAATGAGAATGTTGTACATAAATGCTCTAGATGCTGACTCAAAAGGAGAAGGTAATAGCCAACACATAATTACCCTTCGGTTGTCTTTATTTTAACATTTATATATGCATAAACCCTGCTGTTATCTCGTTATAACCACCAATTCTTCTCTCACAGCAGGATTGTGTCAAGGCAGGCTGCTGTTGTCTGGGAAAAATGGCTGACTGTGCTCTCCTGGGGCTCCCCTGCTCTGACTCTTGCATTGTGATGTGAATTCTTCCTTGTCAAATCAAAAGAGACTAACAAGGCATGTATTAGAATATTAAGGCCAATGAAGGTGTTTTTCCTAAATTGGAACTTCCTTAGCTCTTCACTTTTTTTTTTTATCTTCTCTTCAGACAGTCCAGGAATGTTCCTGCTTCTGTGTGTGTGTGTGTGTGTATGTGTGTTTTAAATAATATATTGGGGTTTTAAGCATTCAGATTAGCAGCTGAGGTTGATAAGACAATTGCTAATTTCACTTTTCACTGTGCTGTCTTTTATTTTATGTAAGGAGTCCAGGATGGCAGTAGATTTTCTTTTTTGGCTTAAGTGCTGTGAATATTGCCTTCACTTCCATGTTCTTCATTGCAGAATATGTACAGATTTGGAGTCTTAATTATTTGGCTTTTCATAAAGCTTTATGTTTTTACTATTTGAAGACTAAATATGGTGAAAAAAATCTCACGTAGTTTCTGTTTTCCTGGCTGGAAACACAGGTGTCATTGATCAAGTGCTCCACACCAATTCCTCGGAAATTTATTTTTAATAAGTGAACAACCTTCACTCCCCCCATTTTCTTCTGGTTAGTATAAAGGAGCACAGGAATGAGAAATGACGTGAGGAAGGGATTGCAAGTATGTCCTTATATTTTTCTGCCTCATTTTATTTCTAACCAGAAAAGGACTTGTTTTCTAGAGGTCATAACTCCTTTTGGCTCTTCTTTATTACCTCATACTGAGAACTCTTCCTATGTATATATTATTTCATATCTACATTTTTAGCATTCAGGGCTTACACATCTTAATTTCTTCACTGCAGCAGGTTCAGTGTTCTGCATATAATAGACACGCACCAAGGCTCTATCGATTGTTGACAGAAACAGTAAGACATTAAATGATTGGACAAAAGAAACAGAGCAAGGGGAAGGCCTGGCTCACTCACCGAATCTCTCTCTGATTTTATAAATATTCTCATAAAATGAAATCACCTTCTTTCCCCCTCTTTTCTTCTGGTTAGTATAGAGGAGCACAGGAAGAAGAAATGACATAAGCAGTTGCACCCAACTTAAGCGTTCTACCAGACCCGATTTGTCCCAAATGGTCTTGTTAGAACCAGACTAATGATCAATAGCAGCAGTACATCACAGCCAAGATTAAATTCCTGAAAAGGACATGTGCAGAGTCCGCCTGGGGGTTAAATTAGTCCAAATTGATTCAAGGACACAGTTGAGCAGGACGCATGCCCCACAGCATAAAGCCCAGTGTTCTGATTACCAGCCTAGGAGGTAGCAGAGGTTCATCCTGTCCTGATTCTCAGAATTTGCCAGCCTTCATTAAGTGTGACTTCTTTGGAAACAAGATAGATGCAGATCTAAATGGCCAATAAGTGCCCTGGTTTGCAAGGTCATCGCTGACCACAGAGAGTGGGCACAGACTCTCTGTGTGGGTGTGGGGAGAGGGGGAGGAAGCCAGTTCACATGAAAGACAAAATAAACATTTATAGAGATGATTAACTGTGTGTTTTATAATGCCTGGTGTAAATGCCAGCTGGTCCAGGAAGTGACCATCTTGACTGGAAGTGTTCTCTCTCTTTACTATACTCTTACCAATGTACTTGTCGAATCTCTTACATGGCAACAATGAGCTCACTGCCTGAAGGTAGAGTTTGTCGGTCATGGAGAATTTCTCTCCTTCCACCTGTCCGATGGCGCACCTCCTGCAGCACTAATCTGTACTGCAATAAGCATGCGTCAAATGCAAACACTCATGATGATTCTGTGTGCCCATAGTTAGTCTGGTTGATGAAAGCCATAAATGACCTGAAACTTCCATTTCGAATATGTTAGCCCCACGAACCATTACTCCAACTGTTGGCAACTCTGACATTTCCTAAGCTGTAACCATGAGAAAGTATTTTAACCTCTCGAAACACCAGTGGTTTCCTTTCCTTGTTTTGTTTTGTTTTGTTTTGTTTTTGTTTTTAAATCTACACAGTCCCTGGCACACGTTTAAACACTTCTGGTAATGTTTTCACATGCTTTTCTTCTTGACAAGGAAATTGAAATCCCAATTATTTATTGGTACTTATGTGCCCGCTCTGCTCTCCCTTCCTTCCCCACAGGGCAATATGGTCATGACTCCGCTCAAGTCCATTCATGGACATTTGTTAAGCCCTTACCCCATGGCCAACAGTGACCTGGGCGCCGAGGATGGGGATGCAGATAAAAAAACCTGCCACTTTCCGTTGTCTCTGTGTGGGCCAAACATTGTACATACAACTGTAATCCCGGCAGTCAGGCTCGCTCAGCTGTTCACCTGGTGAGAGTATGGGTGTGGGAATGCTTGGTAACTCTTCTCCCCTGTGTATGGCTGGGTTCTGCTTATGTGTGGAGGTCATGCTAGAGTTAAAAAGTTAAAACACCACCAACAAAATGTGGTTAAAAATTAGTGGCATAGGCAGGTGGCAAAGGAACCTCTAGGATATAAAATAAACTATAAGAACTAAACTATATAAACTAAACTATCTATATCAGCTCCTGAGCATTTCTTAACTGATTCCATGACAAGCCATGGTAACAGTTTTTGCAAACTAAATTTATGTGGTGTGCTGATTTGTTTATTACTCATTATGAGGACCTAGAGCACAGCCTTGGGGAATGCTCACACATGGAGAGGGTAGGCAAAAGTGGGAATCCTGAGAGAGAGAGGAGAAGGCAGGGTTAGAAGTGAAGGAAGAGAGTTTTCAGGAGGCCAACCGCTGAGCAGACAAACTCTGGCAATGGGTCAAAGTGAGGCTTTAGAGACGGTCGTATGGGTAGTAAGGTCTAAACCGGATAAGCAAGAGTGAAGAGAAGATCCTGGAAACAGCAGCTTTTGTGAAAGAAGATTCAAAAACAAGCAAGCAACACTGAGAGTCACTCAGAATAGAGTTGAGCAGATGTTGAGGAAGCGGGGCCCATCTCCAAACTGACTCTTGCCAGTAACACCTGGACCACTTCCTGGAGCAATCCTTCTGCTCCGGACTGAGATAGAGATAATGTAATACCTGTCAGCCGAGCAGCCAACTGTGCATTAGATAGTTAGAAGTCTGCCTGCATCAGTCACAATTCTTCCAAAGCATGTTATGTAACCTTGCGGGTTTTGCCTTTATAAGCCTGCACTTCACGCTGGCTATTGGGAGCCCATTTTTTATTTTGGTCGACTCTGTGTCTCCTAGATTGCCATCCCTAAGACCCCAAATAGATGCTTTGGTTGTTTTACAGTCTCTTCTTGATTGACACGTTCTGTGTCTAGAACTCCCTGATGAAAGCAAGAGAAAGGGAGAGGAGTAGGAGGGCGGGGCCGAGAGAGTTTTTTCAGAGTGGAGCATGGGCTCAGAGGGAGAAGAGCAATTAAGAATACTAATATGGTAACAGATCCTGGCTATGGGTGGTAGGGATATAGGCAACTCTTTTCTGTTTTTGTTTTTTTTTTGACTTCTGTTTTTCTAATGAGAAAAATAAAACCATTTAAAAAATAGAAAATGCTTTTTTTGAGAGGGGGACTGGAGGGGTGGAGGGAGAGGGAGGGAGAGAATCTTAGGTAGGTTCCATGCCCAGCACAGAGCCTGACACAGAGCCTGACATGGGGCTTGATCTCATGACCCTGAGATCATGACCTGAGCAGAAAATAAGAGTCGGAATCTTAACCGACTGAGCCACCCAGGTGCCTCAGAAAATGCCTTTTAAAAAAGGGATTGCTTTTTTTTAAGGGATGAGAGGGTTAAAAATACCTTCAGTCTGGAGAAGGTTTATTTTCTTCTCTGAGAGAAGAACATGGGTACAAAAATACAGAGAAATTTTAAGTGGGGAAAAGAGAGATTGATTGAGCTCATACAGAACACAGTCTTTTCCTGTTAGTTAAAAGACATGGACATTTGCTAAACCCGAGGAGGTGGAACGGGTTTAGGGGCTTGGAAGAGGGTGGGAAAGGCTTGTAGTGGTCACTGACAAATGCAGTAGAGACACACGTTCTCTACGGATATGAAGGATTTTTTTTTTCCAAAACAATTCAAACTAACTCCTGGAAGAAGAAAGGAGATAGAAGACAAGAGAAGAAAATCATCCAATAAATATCAACCTCAGCTTTCCTTCCAAACTGCTTCTGTCCGAATCCCTTTAAGCCAAATCGCTCAAGTGTCTGTGTGGAACATTACAGCAGAGAATCAAAGGAGGAAATGTAGTACCTTATTTTTTAAAGTGAATTCCTACAGATCCATAACCACCACATTGTTTACTTCAAAATAGATTTTTTTTTGATCTGTTACTGCTATGAAATGTGGTTCTTATTCCCCACCAGTGCTTGTTGCCTGCCTCTCCCTGCTGAATTAGCTTCTTTTTTCTAAATGCACCAAACTCAATTATGCCTCACTTCCAGTTGGGGATCACTTTGAAGTAATAAGAGGAGAATGGAACTATCCACTTAGGTTGATGGAAAAAGATTTAAAAAGAAGAACCCGTCTTTTTATCTCCCAACCAATCCAGCTATATTAAGCTGAAGGTCATTTGGACCAAGAGAAGATTGGCCAGTTTATACAGATGTCAAATTTAAAAAGAAATGGAGGTTAAAAGGGATTCCTGTATTTTTACCGCCCTTCTGTCATCTCCTCGAAGCTTTCAGATAGCAGAGTGAAGGAATTCCAGTACATTTGGCTTTTCTTCTTCCCACTCTCCTTTCTTGATTTTCATGCCCATGAAAATGTTTGAAGGGGAAGATGGAGGGTGTCTGGGGGGGTGGGCAAGGACTGGCCACGTAGCTGGGGCAACGGTGAGAAGCCGTGTGGGAGCTGGGGGGAGTGTTACCAAGTCACAGCAGAGTCTGTGCAAACGGGGAGGTGCACTCCCTGCTGGAACAGCTTGACTCTGTAGAATTATAGTTTCGCTCCATGCCTAAATTGATGGAAATACGTGTGCGAAGGTAGGGGAGAAGGGAGAGAGAACTATGGAAGTCCAGTCAGGAATACTAATTTATGGATTGGGGTTAAAAATGCTTCATATACATTAAATAGAATTGGTCGGGCAAGAATTCATTCCTCTGTCAAGGAACAGTCTTCTGTTCCTCTATTGGACCCTGAAGGAATCACATTTTGGGGAAGAAGCTAAATTAGGCTTAAATTGTCTGCCTTGGTCTTAGCATCTTCCTGAGGGAAATGTTTCCATTTCTATCCTCCTGCTAAGGAAGCAGCCTTGGCTCCTTCCTTAGCAGGTGAGCATCCAGTGATCTGAAGTAACTGGGTCAGGAGCGGTTACCTGACACCTAGGCAGCAGGTGAATAGGTATTTTTTGTCATACTTCTGTGTGGTAAATAATTGAGGAGGAGGCTGGTGCCATTTTACGAGGTATGGTCTGTCTCTCAGATGAGGTCCCAAGGCAGGGCCTTCTCTTTATTTTTTAAGTAACCTGACGGTATCCCATATTATGTTCCAGACATAGGAGAGTAAAAAATGCTAATTTACAAACCAAGTCTCTGAGGGATCTTAGGATCTTCAATGAGTAATCGAGAGTGGAGAGCTCTCCAGATGAGGGATGGTACTATACACTTCAGAAATAGCCATCCTCTGGAGGAAAAAGAGTGGAATCCATACTCATGACTCACTTCTGGGTCTTGGCTGGTTTCTCCGGCTTCTCATTGTATGGAATGACAAGGTCGACCGCTGAGTCTGGCTTCTGGAGGAGAATTCCCAACTTGATCTTAATCTCCTTGGCCCTGAAAGAAAAGATGTAAGGCAGGATGGGAACACCATATGAGCATACAGACCTGAAACACAGACTTCTTTCTGTGTTAAAGAAACAAAAATGAACAAAACTCCATTTTTACTGTTGGGGCAGGAAGAATACTAATGTAGAAATGGGGACACATGAGTTCTAATAATGAACATTTATCAAGCTCTTCTTATGTCCCTTTAATATGCATTATCTCATTTCATCTTAATTACTGTTTTGCATGTATTCTTTCACTTTATATATGACAGATACTGTAGTACTATTCCCACTTTACAGATGAAGACCCTGAAAGTCAGAGTGTTTAAATAACTTACTTAAGACAACCCAGCAAGTCTGTGGTGGAGATGGGACTGGAGCCCACACAGTCTGACTCCAGTGTTCACAGGTGAGCTACTCACTGTGTTGCCTACCTGTCTTCTGTGAGCTTTGGTCCCAGATCTGCCATTAATTAGATGTAGACTATTCGAAAAAAAGTCATCATGTTTTACCACTAGGCCTCAGTTCCCTCATCTATAAAGTGACAGAGTTAATCTAGATGTTTTCTTCAGCTATCTCTAGCTATAAAATTAAAGTATTCTGCCTGAAGATGTATTCCCTATAATGGAATAGATGGGATTTGATTTTTTTTCCCAACTGCTTACCTATTGTTCCATAATGGCTACTGGGGTATCCTATGCAGTAAGCCTTCAGGAGATGAGCATTCATTGCCAATGGACCTATGATAGCAACATTATATCACTGCTTTCTACCCTCAACATTTTAGTGAGTAGATGTCAGAATTCTGCATCTTCCTCTACCAAAGGATGCAACTGTTTTCATAACTCATTTCAAAACTAACCATCTAAGTTATCCATTATTTCATGGTGAGTCTGAACTCAAAAGAACACCAGGCAAATCTTAAGCATTAATCCATAAGGCAAGCCATTGTATATGGAGAGACCCAAAAAGTGTTTTTTCACTATTTCCTCAGTACTTTACAGAAGCTCTTCAGATAGGATGTATCATATTACACCATGGTGGTTGATTCACATCTGTTTTCCAAGCTGGGTGTGAGAGCCCTGTGAAGGGGGGCATCGAGTCCTAAATACCTTTACCTCCTGTGGCAGCACAAGGCATGGTGGCACTGTCAACACTCAGAAGCATTCCCCAGAGTCAACTAAAAATATCTTGAATTTGTTCCTCACAAATCTCCTAACATTTATCTCCCAGTCCATGCTAATCTGAACCAAAATCTTCAAGAGTTATGATGGGATTCATCTTGTGGCTAGATAGGGCTTTGCTGCTATAAATAGACTTTCCCCATCCATTCACATGGAGACAGTGATGAGACAATTTGAGTAAATAAAACGTGTGAGATTAACAATCATGGATATCAGGGAGGAAAAGTTAAGGAAATGGACTGTATTGCTTACCCAAAAAACCTATAAATATTGAGTTGTATCATAAATATAATTTTCAAACTATGATTTAGATTGCCACTTCTACAATGTTTTTTCCTTTCCATTTCTTTCTGTGCCCATTCTTTCCCTAGGACCCTCTCTCTGGTTGAAGCCAGGTTGGATCCCACACCCCAACAGATCAAGCTCACCCAAGCACGGCACTTTGCTTGAAACTGGGCAAGTTCCGCGGGGGAGCTTATATAACACATGAGAATAAGAATAAGTGTCATTTTGATTCCAAGCTCTGCAGGTTGCTTAAATTAACTAATGTTTTGGATTTTTTGCCTAGAAAACAGGACTGATAAAATAGTACATCCTCTTTTTCGTGATGATTAAATATGCTAATGCATGTGAATCACTTAGCAGAGCATTTGGCATATAATACTGCTTCTTCAAAGTTAGTTCTAAGTGCATAATCATTTTTCCAACTGAGCTCAACCCGTGTTCCCTAGCTTCAAGTACCAAATTAAAACATCCAAAAAGATTCCCACAGGTTACTAAGAATTACTACACCCACCACCTGCCATATTCTAGCTCTGGAGACAAGAATCACCAATTTCATATTTATCTGGAATAGAAGGAAAACATTACAAGAGTAAGGAAAGGGGGAGTGGGGGGAATGCATGCAATATTTGTGGCTACCCTCTGCTGGCTAGTGTCCAGTAGGATGACCAGAAACACCAGGTCCATCTTTGCAGTCGGGTCATAATATCCCACCCAGCTCTTGAAGACCTTCATACATAACACTCTCCTCCTGGCCCTAGCTAGGTGCCCCTCACTCCCTGCCCTTAAGGTTAGTGCTGCATGCAGCAACTGTTTTCAGCCTCAACCTTGACTCAGTAGTTCACTCACTGATGTTTAGATAAGGATTATCTATGGAATGTGTCTCAGATGCTTGGTTTTTTGTTTGGTTGGTTCTTTAAGTTTTTGGTGTTTTGTTTTTTTTGTTTTCCTTTCAACTTCTGTTTCTTTCTTTTTTTTTTTCTCCTTATATCTTTAGCTCCATTTGAGCCATTTGCTTTTGTAAAAGGCAGAGAGATATTTGTATATGATTGCCTGGTGAAAGAATAGGGTGGACATGAAGGGGTAATTAGAACGAAGGAGTGGAGTGTTTTTAAATTTCATTTATCCGTGACTCCTTGATCGTGCTTACTGTGTCAGCAGTAGGCAGTAAACAGAAAAACACAACGTTTGGTCCTTGCCTTCAAGGTACTGATAGTCCACTGGGGCCTCAAACTTGTAAGCTATCACAAGCAGCTGTTCAAGGGGAGGATGTCTGGAGAGCGCAGAGCTCTGGCCCACCTAGGCAAGTCAGGGGGGCTTCTCACAGGAGGTACAGCAGGGGCCGGGTGGACAAGAAAAGGACAGACCTTCCAGGCAAAAAGAGGGGAATGTGCCTATTGTTCGAAAGGATGCGGAAGTGGCTCTGTATTGCTTGAGTGTAAAGTGTAATCAGGGAGAGCAGAAAGCCATGTTCGATGACGCAGGCTCACTCTGCCTATCCTTCCTGATGAACGGAAGGATGACAGAGGAGTCTCCATACAGCACTCAGCCTAGGGCAATTTTGGTAGGAAAACAAAAAAAAAGGGGGGTAAAATGACTGAAAGGTGCCTTCAAAGACAGTGTCTGTGTAAACAGGTGGCATCCTTTCTTACAAACTCAGTATGTTTCAAGTTTTTCTTTTGTTAACTCTTTCAGGATGTATTTTCCCATGAAAACACTGTCTATCAATGGTGGTTAAATTGTTAAGACATCCCACAAAAGCTTTGAAAACCAGAATGAATCAGAACCCACTAAGGTTTCATCAGTATCACTGCTTAAATAAAAATTAAAAAAATTAAAAAATAAAAATTAAAAAAATTTTTTGTGGGATGACCTAGAAATCAATGGCCATTTATAACATTGCCTATAGAAAATTATATTCCATTTCCTCAGGGTAGACAAACATACCAGTATATCAGATTACTCTTTTCCTCATACTTGCCCTGGGGATTATAAAGAAGAAAGGAAATTCAGGGCTTTGTTAAAACTTCCTCTAATGGCTTCAACTCCTGGCTTTGTATATGTTCAAATATCAGACATTAAAGAGAGTCTATAAGGCAGAAGTCCATTTGGTTTAATTAGGAGTTTACAGGAATACAGAAAATGAATAATATGATCGCATCTCTTCTTCTAAAACACTAAAAGTTTACAGGATGAAGAGTTGTCAGATGCTAGAGTTGAAACCACTTGAAACCTTTTATTCTTTTTGCAAGGATAAACAGGGTTACGACATTTGTTTTTCTCCTCAGGAGTTCCTGGAACAAGGGGGAAACATCCCCCCTTGCCTTTTCCTCCCCACCCCTCCCTACACACATACGGGAACAAAATAAATCGAGTGGAAAAATCAAACAAAATGAAAGCTCAAACCTATCATTTTATTTTCCCCCTTAAAAATCAACTTGGATGTATCTGACATGAATTTACTGTCAAAAACAACCCCGTCCAGAGAAGAAAACTTTCTGACACGTTGATGATTTCAATTCCGTCTCGGGCTCTGTTTGACCATACACGAGGCATTTTTCCTGGCTACATTACATTAAGGCTGGTGAACAAGAAACGATTTGTATCTCCTCCCATCCCATCCCCATCTTGGCATCCTTTGGTTTTATAAAGAAACCTTGTTTTGAAATAAAATCAATTGAAATGCCTGGGTGAAGTTTTAATTAAAGGCTCAGAGGAAGATAATTCCTTCTGTAGATGATTCACATTAGTGATTTCAAACTGGAAAGGGTTTGAGTAGTTCTGGGGTTTGCGGTTTTAAATCTGTGCCTTCTGTGGGTACGCTGGCCAAGAAATCAAATTTCAAAAGGCCCTGCAGGGGCCACCTGGGTCCTTCCTTCTAATGGGTGAACCTGAATCCAAGTTATTACCTTAACGTGCACAAGTATGGCAAACAGTACAAGCAATCAGTCAAAACAGAAATGTAGCTGAATTTTTAAAAAATACAATTCTGTTCAAGTAGAATATAGGATAGCCAGCTACATATAAAGTCCTGTGCTAGGTGCTTCAAGGGTTACAGAGATTTTTCCTTGCCTTGGAGACATTTGGAACAGCAGAATGTAGGACACGTACATGCAAACTATATGCTAAGTATTTTTCTAGCCATTGACCACAGTGGATGGGATATAACAATTGAAGAATATAGGCCCTAACCTCAAGGAGCTCACGTGTGTGCCGATGTGATAACAGGCAGGCAGTGCAATGGGAGACACAGCTCCAACAGCTGCCTCTATGATATTCACAGAGTCTTCTGTATTTTTCTTTCATGGTCCTTATCAACCTGCACATTTTTCTCTGTATATTTATTTGGGTCTTGTCTCTCTCTCTCATTAGAGTGGCAGGTCTCCAACAATATCTGTTTTGTTCACAATTCCAGTCTCAGCACATAGCTCAGGGCCTGGCACTTAACTAGGTGCTCAAAAAAGATCTGCTATGTAAATCGACGAATCAAAAAAACGAGTGAGTGAATTGAATTTTTAGCTAAACGTAAAACTACATTTTG